TATCTTAGATAAATTTTAGAGACATTATTTGTACAGTGAGTGTCAAGTTTTATATTTCTAAAATAGAGTTCATAACTTTAAGAATCTACAGCAACTGGAATCATCTCAAAATGAGTTACATTTAATTTTATATGGATTTTAGAAGTTTGGGTGTTTTCCTGTTAAACATTTAATGTTTTAGTTATTTTTCCTTTGCATTTTCAGATTTTTATACACATGGGTCCACTAATCGGTGGCTGAACCAATATACAAAAAGGTCCCTGGGCTTTATATGAACTGCATTTAGGTCCGTGGGTCCACATGTAAACGACTGAAGTTTTATAGTTTGAACCCTATGTTTTTTATCATTTACAGGACAAAGTCCTCATCTTCAACCTCCAGCAGCCCGATGGACTAGGAGCTTGGCCATGGCTTTGGCGACCTCGTCGGCGACGATTGGTGGCTCGATTGGGAATGAGGTCAAAATATAAAATGAAGAGAATGCTCTCACGATTCCATTCCTCTAGTTTTCTTGGCTAGGAGACATTGGAGGGTGAGCGGAAGGTATACATGAGCTGTTACTGCATGTTGCCTACGGGCTTTGATTTTGCTAGATGCATCCATGCATGTGTTTCCTAAGAGGTCCAGGAGGCTCACCAAGCTGTAGGAAGAAATCACCGAAGCTTGGATAGCAGCGGTTTCGGTTGGAAAGGTTCGACGGCGGCGCTCCTCCTCAGGTGAACGGCGACGGCTCGAACAACTCAAGGACCTGCCATGCATGCGTGTCCAAGAGGTTCGTGAGGTTATGGAGATGGTGTATGCGCGAGGAATCGAACAATGGCTCACCGAGGCAGCGGTAATCGACGATGATGGCGGAGGCGATCCTAGATCGACGCCGGGAAGAAAAGATGCGTTCTCCAAGTCCTTCACGTCTCCGGCTGGGGTTCTCGAGGCGTCTTGAAGAGGTAGTCGAGGCGAGATTCTTGGCACAGCGGCTTGCTTCGAGATGGACGAGAATGGCCGGTCGACAATGATGTCGAAGCGGTGGCGCTCCAGTGCGTGCTTCAGGGCGTTGTTGGCGTGGTCACGTTCCGGTGGCTGTGATGCACAAAACGGGAGGTGGTCAACAGAGAAGTGGTTCGGCATTGTGTGGAGAGATAGGAACGCGAAAGAGATAGAGGTGACCTTGACTCAAACGGAGATGGCGATGGTCTTCACCTCCATGGCCGGTGGTGAGGTCACTGGTGACGGAGAGGCAGAGGACCTGCTCCCCTCGGCTTCTTCGTCTCTGAGTGATGAGTGAGGAATGGCGACTCAGACTGGAGGAGAAGAGAGCGAGAAAAGGAAAGCCCGAGGTCGTCGACACGTTGTGGCCACGCGTCGGCTCGCTCGATCTCTCCCTCTCTGTGTTCTTGGTCGGCTGAGGGTGAGGCACAGAGAAAGGGCGAGCTGGAGAGGCTGCCAAGTGGGCTCAGGATGAAGTGCTCTAGGTGGAAGAGAGAGGTGTGGGTAAGATTCTGGGTGAACACGGTTTTAGTTCAATTTTTAGATTATTTTCTCTCCCCTAACTTTGTAGATTCATAACTTAATGTGTGGACCAAATTAATTAGTGTTGATTTTACTGGAGGTAAATGATTACACCTAGATTTCATTTTCTTTGGTTGCACTTAAAAATAATGGATAGATTGCTCACAGAAATTAAACAAAGATGGGCTATTAGAAAGGTAGATTGAATTTTTAGGAAGCCTAAACAGAGGAGGAAAATTCTAGAAAAATAATATTTAGGCATGATAAATAATCTAGTATTTGAATAAATTATTTTCCATGTTCACTTATGTGCAGTTAAATGTACTTTTGGATGAAGTATGGATTTAGCCGATTAAAATTTAATTTGATTTCTTTTAGTTTTTCTGCTTTGACTGATTAATTTGTGGTATTAAACTTAGTTATTAAGTTGCACCAATATTATAATGAATTGCTTATGCTAAACATAGTTTACATAAATTTTTCCATGATTTCATCTTGCATAAATTATTTTAAAGAATAAGAATAACCTTTCTTTGTATATGTGTTCCTACTTCATAACTGCACCTAATATTATTATAAGGATTACATTAAACTTCTTTTGGGCTGTGAAAAAGATATTAGAATTTAATATTAAGTCCACATGTTATCACCCTATATTAACTGTAGTTTTGTTTAGTAATTTTAACCCTTTTAGTTTATGCTCATGAGACCTATTATGAAAAGCGATACCAAAAACCAAATACACAATGGACTCAAGCCTAGGCATGCATTATGCACATGCATGCTCAAATGCTTGATGATATTTCTAGTCTAATATTGGGAATGAAAAGATTTTATTTTGTTCTCAAATTTCAATCATGCAATGGTTTAAGTTGGTCATCACCTAAATTAAAACGGAAATTTTTGGCTCTCAAAATTGGAGAAGTTAACCTCTAACTATTTTGACAAGAAATTTTAAGTCCTGAAATTTCGGGTATGTTACAAACATACAAATTATTAGTCAGGTTCTCTCTACTATGATCTTCCCACGGGATTAAATAAATACGATACCCTTGGAATACTCTCGGGTGAAATGCTACAATGGTATATCCGTGCGCTTTGCGGATGAACTCTGTAACCATAATATACCAGGAGTATTTCTGCGCCATTGCTGGGAATGATATTTCTAGTAATGTCGTTAACAAATACCAACAATACCCTCCAACCATCATAGGGAGTGAATCTCCACCGTTCCCTCAAAGCCCTGGATCCAACGGAGCTGTTCCTGGCAGGCTTCCTCCTTGACCTCTTCTATCTTCAGACTTGTGAATTTTGGCCCAATTCGATCGTGTCAATTCTTAGTTCTTGGCCCGTCTTTCCATAAGTCCGATTCTCGACATCGTTCGATTGATTGATCGTCTATTTTGATGTCGGTTCTCCTCCATCTTATGCTTATTTTCTGCAAGAGGTTAGTAATCCTAGTGCTAGTGGAATATATATTATTTTAACAAGAAGATGCATTGCAAACATAACTAGTTCTCCTTTATTTCAGTAATATTGATGGCGAAACTGATCGATAACGACCGTCGACACCCTCCTCTGGCCCCACTCTGCCGACTGTTGACGGTTGTTGCCGACAAATTTCGACCGTCAATATAACTAAAATATTGGAGAAGTAGCTATGCTTACAATGCATGTTTATTTCCAAATAATATATTTCCACTTGTACTTGGAGAATAACATGTTGTAGGAATTTATCAAATAAAATAAAGAGAAAGTGGAGAAAACCTTACTCCTAAGCAAGCAATTGGATAAGGGGGCCCACATGTCAGGTGTAACCGTCCGTAATAGCCTTAACTGTCAAAACCAACAATGGGACCCATGTGTCAGCCATTGTACCAAAGGGGAGGTCGGTTGGAGCCAGGCCGAACCAGGGGCAAGCCGGCTCCGTTCCCCCTTACACGTGGACGTCCAAGATGCGTTGCTGATGGCAGTTACAAGGGTAAAATGTACATTTCGCATGAGAGTAACCGTCATACCGGCCCTATAAAAGGAGGAGCTCACTTCACTTCTTAACACACTCAAGCAAGCTCAATTCCTCTTCATAAATTAGTATTAGTAGTATAGTGCTAAGTGGAGTAGCATAGAATAGTGTTCGGAAGTCCTCGGAGTCTTCGGAAGAGTTTTCGGTATGGCCCTAGCAGCTTTTGTAATCTCTTCCGTAATACTTTACGATTTAATGAAATACTCTTCTTTATATATCTTCGCTACTTTACTTAGTTTGAGTACTGGCCTTACTTTATATCTGCATTATGTTAATTGTGTGTGTAGCCTACCAGAGAAGTGTAATGGTGCGGGTTTAATGTCTGATTTATCAGTTACTCTATGTCGGGCGCGCGGGTATAGAGTAGTATTTAATAATGTGAGCATGGTGCTTAGATTATTTAGTATCATTAATTGGACATATATACTTCAGGACAGTAGAGGTGGGCTGCTGATGGTGACAGCTCAGTACGAGTATTCCTCCATATTAGTATATATTCCGAAGACAAATTCCTGGGGAGGGTACTCCTCCGTATTTAGCCCCGGTTGGACGGCCATGATAGGTTGTCGTAAGAAACTTGGCAACCCGGGGTGGTCCCTTGTAGTACCAGGAGGACACTGTGAGGGGATATTGGCCACATGATTGTAAATTAGCAGATGTAAATTAGGATTTGAATGTATACTAGAAGTATAGGAATTGAGTGCTTTCTATTTCTTCTTCCACTTAGCTGATGTGCACTAGGGTTCCCGATCTTCCGAAAGGTTCTGATAAACAACGATTTGGGTGGAGTCGCGACATAAATCGATCAGGCTTCTTGAACGCGCACGCTCTTGAGCCCCGCAATCGCAGCACCACGTCTCCTCTGGTTATCACCCGTGCCGAAACACAGATGACCTCGCCGAGAAGGCTAATCCCTATTTGCCAATCGAAGAACACAAACAAGAACGAGATAGAAAATAACCAAAATTGCAGATGAATGATTAAGCTCACGAGTTGGGGTCTTACAAACCGATCTAGCGGCAAAAATGATCTCGACAGATTAATTTAAGCAAAACCCAAAAACTTAAAGATGGCGGCGGGTACTGATATATAGAGTTTAGGGTCGTGTAACCCCCTCTCGACGCAACCCTAATGGGTTCCAACCAGGGTTCACCTTACCGTTTTGGGGGGGCTTACCGACCCCCCGCGGTATGGTGGTTACTGCGGTAACCGTGCGGTTACCGCGAAAAACCGCACAAATTTCGTTTCCAAATTTTTGAATTCAAAATCCACGGTATGGACACGGTAACCGCACGGTTTGGTACGGTAACCGCGGTAAGAGGACGGTAACCGCGATATGTTGGAACTGAAATAAGAAAAATGAAAAAAATAATAGAAAAAAACTAAAATGTGAGTATTTTAGTTAATTAAGATGTGGCTATACAACAGAAAAATTCGGCATGACCTACTCTATATTGTGGAGTTCAAATCAATACAATAATTCATAACATTATAACAACAATAACAATCATCAATCTCACATTTCAAAGCATAACGATGTCCACATGTAGGTCCAGAATAACAATACAGTCCAGAATAACAATATAGTCCACAATAACAATAGAGTCCACAGTATAATGTCCACGATTACAATTCTAGTTCGAATGAAAGGAAATAAACAAGGACATGCATAGCTACGCATTCCACTGATTATATGCCATATTGTACTCCTCTGTGGACATGAGCATCAAGCCATGTGAATGTAGCAACCCCGCCTTGTATTCCTCCCAACTTTGACCTGTCCATGATGATGTTGTTTGCCACTGAGCGTACAATTGAGCATACCACTGAGGCTCTTGCCATTCATACACCCATGTAGTAGCAGGATAATCAGAAGCTTGGGGACGGTTGTACACATACGTTGGATAGCCACTTTCAAAGCTAGAGGCACTGAATGAGCTAGAGCTATCCTGTTGTATGTCACTGAATTGTTGCTGTTGTCGGACTCCCGGTGCAATGGTAGTTCGTTGAGAGCTTGGAGCACCATGATCCTGGTCCTGAGTAGCATGAGTGAAGTCGCCCTCACCTGCAAATCAAAAAATTGCAAGAAAATTATCCAGTACTGAATTGGAAGATGAAGGTTGAAATTGCAACTGAATTATATCACACCAGTGAATTGAACGGGGCTGTGGTGATCTGATTGTTGGGTGTGACCCCTAGGAGGCACATTAGTAGTGCCTTGGCCTCCTTGACCATCGTCGTCGCCGTCATCTGTTTCAGTTCTTGAGCTACTATCATTGGACTCTTGGTACTCTGGGCTTCCTTGGGTCTCTTCATCGCTATCAACACTAGTCGATCGTGGACCCTTGCCCTTTACCTTTTTAGATGGACGTGCTTTTGGCGGCTTTCGAGTCTTCCTTTTCCCAATATGAGTGTCACCTACATTCGTATCAGCCCACTCAGCAATACTAGAAGCTCCCGTGGTCCTTCGCAGGTCATCCAAGTTGACTAGGTCAGACACAAGTTGACTAGGCAGGGGAGCGTCACTCTCAGCTGAATCTTCATCTAGTTCGGGGCAAGCATTAGAGCGAGCATTGTCCATCCAGGCACTGATATGATTGTTAGTTTCATAGAATGAGAGGTCCGCTAATCTTTGAAGGGGATCATCGTCCTCCACCCTAATTTGGGCATTTGCTTGCTGAATTCGAAGGCGAAGGTTGTAGTTCACGTACACTAGCTTGTTGAGCTTCTTGTGGGTAAGTCTATTACGGACCTTCGTATGTACGAATGCGAATGTGCTCCAATTCCTTTCACATCCACTAGAGGAGCAACATTGACCAACCAAACGCAACGCAAGCTTCTTCAAATTCGGCGTGTCTGAGGCGAACATAGACCACCATTGTGCTGCAAAAGCCAAGTAACATGTCATTTCATAATTCTGAATACATCAAGATGAATTAGATATATCATAGTTCCATGATTAGAAACATACCAGGTGAAGTTTTCCCATCTATGGCCATCCTTCTTGCTAGTGCCCTCCCAAATTCACCCGTCTTACGTCGGTACATCTCAACCTCCAGCAAAGCGGCGGCAGCCGTATCGATATCCGTCATCCACTCGAATGCCTGTCGGAGGTCTTGGAAGACAGTAGCACTTAGAGAATACGCGTAGTGCGTCCTAGGGTTCAATGCGGCAGCTACAAAACATGGCACAGGTTAAGTAAGAGTTACATAATATGCCATGTGGATTATGTTATGACCAATATTTACCGGCATTGATGAGAGTCTCATTGGTTAGGTCGTGCATCCTTCTGTTCACGATCTCCATGTATGCTTCAAACTTGTCCCTTTGATTCGCAAAAAGACTGTCGTACTCCATTTTGAGCAACTGATATCTCAAAAGTACCTCACTCAAATTGGGGTTCTTGTCCTCGTCAGCAAACCGAAGGAATGAGTACATAGGTTGGACAGAATTCACTACTGCCTCTAAGTTCTCCCACCAAGACAGACTAGATAGACATGCATGTGCATATCTACCTTCCAAAGTCCCACTAAATTTGCTTTGCATGAAGACAGAAGAAGCCATCCATTGCATGAAAAGATCTCGCTTCCTAAGGAAACTCTGGAGAAACATGTAGTTTGTTCCGAACCTTGTAGCATTCCACTTAACCAGTTCACCACCTATAGCTAAGACCATCATAGCATGCAACTTGTTATGATTGTATAGCCATCTGCAAATTTTCCTAGCACTCTCAATCACCATTTCGTGGTCTGGCATTTTCCCAACCTCCTTAAGCATCAAGTTAACTGTGTGTGCCACACAAGGTTGCCACACAATTGTCTTGTATTCTTGCCGTAGTAGTTTGCACGCCTTCTTGTAGTTAGAGCCATTGTCAGTGATAATTTGAACAACATGCTCCGAGCCTATTTCGCGTACCACCTTCCTTATCTCCTGCATTGGTAGATAACATAATAAAAATTAGTCCATGCCCCTAACACTGACGATAACAGGTGATGAAGTAATTTGTTGCATGAACCATACATACCTTCAGCACAAAGTTAGCATCCTGGCTTTGCCCGGTCGCATCAATGGACTTGTGGAAAAACATTATTCCATTGCAGTATATCAGAAAATTGATGACCGACATACTCGTCGGACCTGTCCAAGAATCACACATTATAGTAACACCGTACTCATCCCAATCCTTCTTGAACCTATCAAATTGCTTCTTCACATCCTTCTCTGTAGAATCAAGATATTTTCCATCTATCTCGTTACCAGTTGGAGAAGGTACACTTTCACCTACAATTGACGTATGAAATAAGTAGTGCGCAATGAGTTAGAAAAAAAGAAGTTCCTTAATAGATGCATACGTACCCCACTTTTGTGTCTCCCGAACGGCGCTCACAAAGTATGGATTATCGGCGTTTCTACCAGGAATGCCGGCGGTAAAGAAGAACCTTGCCCATGACTCACCAATGGCTTGCCTAGCTTGCTTCCCCTTCTTTGTGAAGAATCCTGTGTCAATGCGTGGCTGCACAGGGGCCTTGGCAGATGCTAGGTTGTAATCTCTCACAGCATGTGACTCCCTATGAGACGTAGCCCTTCGTAGCATATTGGTAATTGGGTTACTTCTACCTTTCCGTGCCTCCGGCTGAGCGGATCCACTCCCACCGCCATGCTCATAAGTGCCACCACGCTCCTCAACATCCCTCCTAAAGTTTTCGTCTTGTCGTGAGGCTGCAATGGCTGCTTCCATTTGTTCCTCCTCGTCGGCATCACCTGTTAGGTCATAATAGTTGACCCTTGCTGCTTCAACCCTTCTTCCGCTATCACTCTTACGCTGGTCACCTGCATCTTTTATCCTGTCCAACTCACGGCAGAAGAACTCACGGACATCCGGAGGCACTGAATTGCAATATGTAACCCCCTTCCCTCTTGCAGCCAAGTGTTGCTTTAGTCTTGTTGCCCCACCACCGCCTCTCTTTGTATGGCAATACTTACAGCGCCATCCAGGTGGGATATTCTCCCCGTGCTCCCACACAGGGTCCCTACTATCTGACATCTCCACCCTGTATCAAATGCATGAGAAATTATCACTGCTAATTATAAACATACCTCCCATTATGCAATAATACGACGTAATTATATGTACACTGGTAAGCATGCATCCAAATTCTTCCATACTATGACGTATTTAATTTAACCTATATGTACATAGACCAAAGCAATCAAATATACTTCACATGCATGGTTTTAGCCAAGCACGGGCAACCAAATGCCGAAATAAACTCATATTCCCAATGTATTTCACATGCATATTGGTAAAAATATGTTCTATTGATATGTCCATGCATATCACAGTAAAAAATACCATACCACGGTTCAAGCCACGGTAACCACGGTAGGGTGGACGGTTACCACGGTTTTCACACGATTACCGCACATACGTATATCGTCTCATAGATTACGAAGCCGACGGTAACCGTACAAAACCGCACGGTTACCGCTCCTAACCGTGCGAAAACCTTCAAAACGGAGGGATTACCTCTTGCCCGTCGACCCAGGCGGATACCGTCGCGTACCGCGCGGTTACCGCCGCTTACTACACGGGAACCGGCCTCGCCGGCGCGGAGGCGGCGGATCTGGCGCGGGCACACGCCGTCGCCCCTTCGGTCCTGAGCGCAGCTACGCGAGAGAGGGGAAAAACGGTAGGATTCGCCAGAGAAACGAAGCAGAGGCTTCCAAAGATATTTTCCTCCCATTGTGGGCCTTATTGGGCCTCGTGAACAGTGCATACTTGGCCCATTCCATTTAATCTTTTTTCTTTTTTATAATTCACAATAGGTTTTGCGCTCAAATTTGAATTTACCTGCATCTTTTTGATGAATTTTTTCACCATAACAACATACAAAACAAGCTTTACATCCATGATTTTTTTTGATTTTTTTCGATTATTTTTCAAATTTTTGAATTTGAGCAAAATTTGCCCAAACCCTACCGCCGGTTTTCGTTACCGACCCCCCACGGTAAGCCCGGTAACCGCGGTTACCGCGCGGTTACCGGCGAGAAAGTGAACCCTGGTTCCAACACGATACACGGGCCAAAGGCCCAAATACGGTGATGCAGCACCGGGACAGATTCTGGACGTCAATTTGTTCGGTCGATTCCCATTGACTCGGAAAGAATTTGGATGTGGGACCAAAACCATTGGAAATTTTATCTTCTTAGCTTTCCATCCATATAAAGACCGCCCCAATCCGAGCACGTATACAACCTGGGCGCCCGTTTTAATACAGACTGGTACTAGACTCCGAATTGCACCCGAGGTCGAATTGGTTTGGGCCTCCACCTTGACTTGGACATCCTCGATGATCCTTCATGGCTCTAAGCCCTTCTCCATGTGTCTCTTTGTCCCCTCTATTGTTCCTAATGTGATGTCCGCATTATCCTCCCCCTCTTGAATTGAAGTCGTCCTCGACTCAAGCTCATCCTCTTCTCCCAAGTATGGCTTCAAATCTGAAATGTTAAACGTGGGACTAACCCCAAACTCGGGAGGCAACTCAAGTTTATATGCATTATCATTAATCTTCTCAACAATTTTAAAAGGACCATCAGCACGAGGCATCAACTTAGACTTTCTTAATTCCGGAAATCTATCCTTTCTCAAGTGCAACCAAACTAAATCACCCGGTTCAAGCTTAACCTCTTGCCTACCTTCACTACCAGCAATTCTATACTTTTCAGTCATCTTTTCAATGTTGAGCTTGGTTGACTTATGCATTTTCAAAATAAATTCAGCGTGTGCCTTAGCATCATTATGAACCCTCTCACTAGTAGGTAAAGGCAAAATATCAATAGGAGCACGAGGGTTGAAACCATACACTACCTGAAAAGGACTTACCTTGGTAGTAGAATGTGTTGCCCGATTGTATGCAAACTCCACATGAGGCAAACATTCTTCCCACATCTTCAAATTTTTCTTCAAAATAGCCCTCAACATGGTACCCAAAGTGCGGTTGACTACCTCCGTTTGTCCATCTGTTTGTGGGTGACATGTTGTAGAAAACAATAGCTTTGCACCCAACTTGTTCCATAGCGTGCGCCAAAAATGATTTAAGAATTTTGCATCACGATCTGAAACAATAGTAGAAGGCATACCATGCAAGCGAACAATCTCATGGAAAAACAGATCAGTAATATGAACAGCATCATCACTTTTATGACATGGTATGAAATGTGCCATCTTAGAAAAATGATCCACCACAACAAAAATGCTATCCCTCCCCCTCTTAGTTCTGGGCAATCCCAAAACAAAATCCATAGAAATATCTGCCCAAGGAATAGAAGGTACAGGAAGAGGCATATACAAACCATGTGAATTCAAACGAGACTTAGCTTTCTGACAAGTGGTGCAACATGCCACGAATCTCTCAACATCTTTTCTCATTCTTGGCCAAAAGAAATGTGATGAGGACACAACTAGCTCGGATATAACCATGATTACCTTATGTATTAATCAACCAAAGGTGCATATGTTCTACATTAGATTTACTTGTTATATATTTGAACAAACGTTGCTACACAATGAGTTTCATGTGTTTTTGTTTGCAGAGGTACTTGCTTGGGCGAAAGAAAAGAGACCGAGCGTAAAGAATGCATGGATGATTAAAGAAGTTGAGTGGGGACCAAACCATGAACTTCTTCGAGTCTTCTTTCATCTCACCATGTCACTTTTGGTCCATAGAAGATAAGAGATAAAGTTCTACACGTTTTCGATTTGGATTCAGGCCTCCTAACAGCATCAACTTCAAACGGACCTAGCCGCTGATCCAGAAGGAATTTCGGGGCCCATGAGTACTTGTTGGAAAGCTTATGGAGACTACGTTCAGATGGTTTTGGTCCCATGTCAAAATTCCTACTGAGCTGCCGGGAATCTACAACACAAGCCACATATCTCAGCCAGTCCGAATCTGATTTTGAGTTTAGGGCTTTGTAATTGTGTCGTGGGCTTAGCCCAAGGGGGTGTGCGACCTAGGGCAACCCTAGGACGTCCCTAATCATATTAATTCAGTAGCCGTCATCGTTTAGAGTTGGGTTTTGCTTAGATTAATCTGTCAAGAACAGTTTCGCCGCTAGATCGGTTTGTGGAACCCCAAATTCGTGTGCTTAATCATTCATATGTAATTTGGTTGCAATCTATCTTGTTCTTGCTTGTGTTCTTCGATTCGCATGCAGGGATTAGCCTTCGCGGCGAGGTCAACCAGGTTTCGGCATAGTTGATAACCAGAGGAGACGTAGTGCTGCGATTGCGGGGCTCAGTAGCGTGTTTGTTCAGAAGCCGGATCGAGTTGTGTCGCGACTCCGCCCAAATCGACTGTTTATCAATACCTATCGGAAGATCGGGACCTAACATCCCCCATCAAAATGCAAGGCCAAAACATCTCCCGTCTTCTTAGCTCCAAAATGTCCCATCAACTCTCCTCCATGCGCTTCCTGTATCAACAAAAGACGAACGGAACCAACTGGAATGCATAGACGGTTAGCTCTATAAACAAATCCACCATTGATCACAAATTTGTTCCAAGTACGTCTCTCTTTGCAATTTAACATCAATTCATTAAAATCAGGATCAAGCGCATATTGTTCTTTAATTGATTCAAGTCCAAAAATCCGACAATCAAGTTGGGACAAGAAAGTATAGCGCCTAGACAAAGCATCTGCAATCATATTATCTTTCCCTTTCTTGTGTTTGATAACATAAGGAAAAGATTCAATAAATTCAACCCATTTAGCATGTCTACGATTCAAATTATTTTGAGAGCGAAGATATTTAAGCGACACATGATCGGAGTGAATAACAAATTCTTTAGGCCACAAATAATGACACCACGTCTCTAAGGAACGTACAAGAACATACAATTTCTTATCATACGTGGAATAATTCAAAACAGGACCATGCAACTTCTCGCTAAAATATGCAACACACTTACCATCTTGCATCAACACACCTCCAATGCTGTCACGTCCTGATAAATTCATCCCAAAATAAAAATCATTTCCTAAAAGGAATAATAGAATTTATTAAAATTCAAAAAGAAATTGGCAAACATTAAAATGCGTACAAGAAAATTTCGAAAGTGGTCCGGAGAATTTTTGTTAAATTCTCCTTCGTCTAAAAGGAGCCCTCAAATTTTACTTGAATTTTCAGAGCACCGAAAATATTTATTAAACAAAAAACAACAATTAACAAAGTTTATTAAAAAGAAAAAGCTAAAAATAATCCCTCTCCTCCCTTTGGGCCAAGTCTGGCCCAAAGCCTCCCTCTCTCTCTCGGCCCGCGACCAAAGTCCTCTTTTCCTCCCTCTCTTTCTCTCCCTCTCCTACTCTCCCTCCTTCTCTTGGGCCTCCCCTTCCCCCTCTGCCCAGCTCCCTCCTCCTCCCTCTCTCCCACGGTCCGCCTCTCCCTCCTCTCCTCCTGGGCCGCCTCCGGGCCCAAGCCGAGCGGCGCCCTTCCCGCCCGTGCCGCGCACGTGCGTGCGCTGACTGCGCGCCTGGCCGCGTGGGTCCCACCCCCAGGTCGTCGTCCTCCTCCCGCCTGGCCTTCTTTCTCTCTCCCGTGAACCCTAGCTCGCTTCCTCCCCAAAATCCATGCGATTCAAACCGGGGTTTCCAAAATTAATTGGGGGGTTTTAATCCCCATTGATTGCTCTTCAATTCCCCATAATTTCCCCCTTGATTCGTGCCCCCAATCGTCGGGAACGCCCGCGCCAACCCCGGCCACCTTCCATGGCCGCCGGCCGGCTTTTCCGCCGCCGTTCCCCGCTCCTCCCGTGGCCGGCTCCCTCCCCGCGCCTATAAAATTGAATCCCCATCCTCCATTCTATCGTTTTAGCCTCATCCCGAGCCTCCCCGTGGTCGTATCACCCCTCCCCGCCGTCGCCCTTCTCTTTCCCCCGTGCCGGGCGCCTCCAGCCGCCTCTCCCTCCTCGCCCGAGCGCCGTCTGGCCGTTCCGTCGCCTTCCCCGACGTCACAGCAGCCTCCTCTCCCCCGGCCTGCCCTCC